GTTGGGGAGAGATTTGGAAGTGTGGCAATCATTTCTTTACAAACTGACTTTGCTGCTAGGAAAGAAGGCACATCGTCCCATTTTTCCCATGTTATGACATTCCATTAGCATTTAAAGCGAAATGAAGACTTCCAGTGGTGAGCAAGAGCTGGAAGATTCTAGCAAGGGTCTACCCAGAGTAACAGTGCCAGCAGCTCTTCCTTTATCCTGGAATAGCCACATCTGAGTTTTCAAGAGACAATACCCTATGAGAAAGAGACTAGATACTTTAGAAGGAACTTTAAAAAGTTAGTAACCCCATTTAATATCTTAATATTTATCTAATTGTATATGCTATATATTAAATATCTTAATATTTATTTAATTATATACACGACATACCAATAATATAATTAATATTATTGAAATAAATATTTAGATATTTATCATATCCTTCCATCCAATATGCATTGATTAGTATTTGATATTACTGGCCTTGGATACTGAATTCAATCATCCCTCCTGGGCCAGCTTCTTGAGTATCTGAGACCACATGCATGTGGCACTGTGTTCAGCTTTTAAATAAGTCCAGGGTATTAAATAAACAAAAGGGCACCTATGATTATTAATTAACCAATTAATTTTGGAGCCAGAAGAGAAACCAAGAACTTGGAACATACTAGGCAGATGTTGTGCTGCTGAGCTGCCCCACCAGTCCTGGCATTTGCCCTGAAGGTTCCAGTGGAAAGCACCACTGCTCCTTGCTGAGTTTGAGAACACTTTGAGAACCAGTTCTGCCTCAGAGAAAAAGAGGCATTCACAGAGCTAGAGGGCATGTGGCCCCGAAAAGCATGGTACAGGCTAGTATTCTTCAGAGAGATCATGTCATATATTATTTAAGAAGAAGATAACTGTTGCAGATCTTGGACACAGGTGTAGTATTGAGCTCTTTGTTTCCTGAGATATTTTGAGCCTGAAAGATTCAAAGGACAGCAGAATCTAGAAGCAAAGCCTAAAAGGACTGTTTGAGGCAAAGGCTGGAGGAGGTGGCGTAGGAGGACCAAGCATTCAGGAAACTCTCACCCAGGCAGGTGCTCAGAAGGCAGAGATGGAGCTGGGGTGAGAAAGCAGGGGCCGTGTAACAAACTGCATGTCCTGATTTATGTGGGCCTTTGCTTCTGAGAACTCAGTTTTAATTGAATGGTTGACTTTCTCAGAGACACAGCCCTTACTAATGAAAAACAACCTCTGGGGAACTTTATGTGTAGGAAAGACAAAGCAGGTGCAGTACCTATGGGGGCCCTGCCTCCCTGCAGTCTAGTCTGGTGTGACGTGCACCTCTGGGGCCCTGCCTGCATGCAGTCTGGTGCTGATGTGCACCTCTGGGGCCCTGCCTCCATGCAGTCTGGTGTGATGTGCACCGGGGTCTGACCATTGGCCACTGTTATCTCATTTTGTGGCTTTGGAGTCCTTAACCTTTTGCCAGGCTGGCAATCTAGAGGTTCCTCGTCAGAGCATTAGAACTGAAGGCTAATTGCTATTGCTGTGGCCCCAGGCTGGAGCTCGGGTGCAGGGGTGGGAAAGGACACACTGCCTTGTATGTACTGTCTTGGTGATCAGCAGCACACCGTTAATCCAGAACCTTTACTGAACCAGAAATTCAACAGTGGACTTGGTAGAGAGGCTCTCAGGCTCAGTGTTTGATGTTTGTACCCTTGAAAGGCTTAGATTCATAGGCTAACCCCAAATTAATAATTTGGTATCAGAGCCCACAGAGTCCTATAACAAAGTAAGGGCTGACTCCCCGGGTTGGCCTGAGCAGCTCAAACGCTGGAAAAGTCTGTTTCTCCACTATTCTGCTCTTATAACCCCCCTGCCTCCCCAGTGAGCTCTCCCTAGAAGTTATGCATGCGTTTGGAGAAACAGCCCTGAAACATCTGCCCCCCACTCCAGGAAAATGTAGGCAACCCTTACCGCGGTTTCTCCTCTGGAGTTTTTGGGAAGTCTTCCTGAGGTATATATTTAATATTATTTGGGAACAATATAAACAGCATTAGCATAGGGCTAACCTTGTACAAATTAATACTTAATAAATTTTACTTGAGGAAAGTAAATGAGCTGGGAAGAAAGCTGACTTGCCGGAAGCATTTATTAAACTCTTTACCTTCATGGGGCACTGAGCTAGGGATGGTACAAAATACGTTAGCAGATGTGACTTGTGCCCTTGAGACCCAGGGCAGCATTTGCAAGTGCATTCTTGTGTGAAGTGTGAAATTTACCTCTGTTGTCATTCTCAGGCTGACAAACAAGTAAATAGTGGTTGGGGCAAGAGTAATGGTGGCCATCAGAAGGCTAGCATGCAGGGTGTGCCATTATCACTCCATGCTCCTGGAATCACTTTCCAATACTGTATTGTGGTGTAGTATACACCTAGGTGTAGTGTAATTAGCATAGCATAGCATAGTTATTCTTCTAAGGCGCTTGTGTTTATAGGTATAAATACATTTTTAAAAGATTTATTTTTGGTACATTCTTTGTCTCTGCCAGGCATGTTAAGGTCTGGGTTGGAAATATTATTTTGGCTGAAGAATGTTTTTTTTGCAGGGCAGGGGGCTTTGGGGGAGGTCCAAGATTTTCATTACAATGGGAAGGATTGTTGAAGCCTGTCTGGTCCCTGACAAAGTTGGGAACTGGAAGCTGAGATCTGGTCTTTCTTGGGCCTCTGCTTTTTTGTGTTCCTAAATCTGCCAGCTTCCTTTAGTTTCCTCTTTTCATATGTGGCCTGGGGTCCTGCCTGTCATCGCTGACAGAAACACTTTTATTTTGAGATAATTTTAGATTTGCAGAGAAGTTGCTAAAGTAGTATGGAGGATTCCCTTGCGCACTCTAAACTGGTTTCACTGTTACCCTCTTTTGTCCTAGGGGCTTTGCTCTTCACAGGCGATGGGTCTGGGGGCTGGAGGGAGGGAATGGGGTATGGACAATAACCTCCCTCTAACTTCCAAGGTATTTCTAAATGTGGAGTAGATATTAGTGACCTAATGTTTTTGTTTTTCAATTGGAAATTTTAAAACGTTCTTCAGGTAATGGCAGCAGCGGGCTCAAAGGTGTTGGGCGCTAGTGGTTGTGTTCCTGCCATGGCAGAATTGAGTGCAGGGAGGATTTTGATGTGAGAGTCCTTGCTGGGGATCTTGAAATACTGTTTCTTGATTTTTTTATTTACTTAGCATTTACTGATTGTTCCATAAGTGTAGTCCACGATACTCTCTGGCGATACCAAGTTGAGCTTTACATAGGGGTCTTTGACCAACAGTGTACAAAGCTGTGGAGGAGGCCCATAGCGTGTGCTGTGGAGGAGGCCCATAGCGTGTGCTGTGGAGGAGGCCCATACCATGTGCTGTGGAGGAGGCCCATACCGTGTGCTGTGGAGGAGGCCCATAGCGTGTGCTGTGGAGGAGGCCCATACCGTGTGCTGTGGAGGAGGCCCATAGCGTGTGCTGTGGAGGAGGCCCATACCGTGTGCTGTGGAGGAGGCCCATAGCGTGTGCTGTGGAGGAGGCCCATAGCGTGTGCTGTGGAGGAGGCCCATAGCGTGTGCTGTGGAGGAGGCCCATACCGTGTGCTGTGGAGAGCGGGGAAGGAGCCCTTGCTGCCCTCCCTGATGGCGCAGTCTTCATTAGGCTGCAGCACCTGCAAGGAACACTCGTGGCAGATGGAAGCAATCTGTCTGTTTAGTCCAAACTTATAATTACAGCAGCCTAGGTAAATCTAGGGGCGAGTCGCTGCTTTGTCACTTCACCAACAGGCAGGTACGTTGTTCCCCGTGAGTGGAGCTAAAACAGTCATTAAATGCGGCGATGGCTGTGTTTGTCTTCCCAGGGCCACCCGCTGCTCTCCTTTACCTGCTTGTTGTTACAGTGCATAAATTCCTTACTTAGAACAATAAAGTATATGTATTTATAATGCAATTTCAAATTCAGACCCGTATAAACAAAGGCCAGGGCATATACCTATTCTGAGAACTACACATACAGTGTATACTCAAGCATATCACATTTTACAGCCTTCTTATTTAATTAGACTTCAGTCATAACAAGGCAATGAAGTAAGTATTTCACTGTTGTCTTTTACATTTTATATAAAAATTAGAGTAGATATCCACACTTTCTAGAAAATATATATAGAACCTCTCAAAATATGTACCCCACTATTTTATTTAAGTGATGTTGCTTAGGAAAAAAATATACATTTACACTGTAAAGGTGCCAATCTACAACTGTGCTTTGGAGTAGAGTATGGGTTATTGCCGTTGATATTTTTGTTTCTGCATTCTTACACTGAGTGCACAGAGAGACTACTTTGTTACTTGGTGCTCCATTGGTTCATCACCTAACCTGCTCTGCCTTTCTCTATGGTTCTTGGAAGATGCTCTGGAAATGGGGACATGGCATCATAGTAGATTGGAAACTCCAAGTCCATACCAACAGTTTCTGTAGAAACATTTCTTGTCACTAGGCCCTTCTGCCATGCATGTATCTGTTAGGGAACACAGACTGTGTTTAACCAGTTCATTTAAAGTTCCTTCTGCAAACCCAGGCATTTATCTCCCTGTGTTAAGTATTAGTTGACTGAGAGCAAGTTCCCATAAGCACAACTCACAACAGAGCAATGAAGACAATCAAAATAGCAGATGGACAGATTTGGAGAATGTGAGGACTCCACGCCATCCTAACAGCAGTAGGTGACACCACTGTCTCCAGCTTACAATGTGCTAGTATCTGAGTCTCATTTCCTGTTAGAGATCCAGGAGGAGACATAGAAAGTGACGTACCAGATACAAATCTATGATCCAAACACTTGTGACATATTAAATTGCACATCAGTTTGACCCAGCAGCAGGCTTGCCAGTTAAGATACCATGTAGTTATCAGTGTGGAGAAATCCATTCTGACGAGCTGAAAACTTTGACTGATTCTTCTTCAATGAAATTAAAACTTCATCTTTTTTTTTTTAAATTTCAGAGCAGTGGTGGCAGAAGTTGGTTTAGTGACTCCCATTGCATATTCAGTTTGTTGAATTCTGCTGTGAGGGCTTCAAGCAGTGATGTCACCAAACCAGTTGTGAAACAGGTAAGAACCGGGTATCATTCTTTATCCATTCCTCTGTTGTGGGGCACCTGTGCTGGCTCTAATTAACACCCGTGTGTGAGGGTCTCTGTTGTAGGTTGGCTCAAACTCCTCTGGGCAAATTCCTAGGGCTGGTAGAGCTGGATCATATGGTAGATCTATTTTTAGTTTATTTTTGGGAAATCTCCACACTGATTTCCATAGTGACTGAACTAATTTACCTCCTCATCAGCAACATATAAAGGTCCCTTTGCATCCCCGTCAGCATTTGTCACTGTTGTCTTAATGACTGCCATTCTGACTGGGGTGAGAGAGAATCTCAATGCAATTTTACTTTGTGTTTCTCTGATGGTTAGTAAGCTTGAACATTTTTTCATGTTTATTGCCCATTTATACGTCTTCTTTTGAGAACTGTCTTCAGCTCATTTCTTTTGTCTATGTTATTTGACTTCTTTAGTTCTTTGGAGCTCCTCATTTGTTGTAGATATCAATCAATCTTCTGTCCGCTAGTAATGTTTTCCTCCTGTTCCGTGAACCGTCTCGTGTCCTGACTAGCTGTTTCCACTACGCGGGAGCGTTTTAATTCCATGAGATGTCTTTTGCCCATGGTTGGCCTTATTTCCTGAGCAGTAGAATTCCTGTTTAGAAAGCCGTGTCCACCTGTACTTTCAACCCCTCGTCTACATTCTGGCTTCACCATTTTCTAAAGAAAGTTGTCAGCGCGCATCTGCATGTTGGCGTCACACGAGCTATCGCCTCCTCTGTAACCTGGGAAACCTTTGCCTCTCATCATTTTTCCTTCATTTTCCACCAACAGCTTTATGGTTCCATCACTTATATTCTCATTTATATTATCTCTCCGTTTTATATTAGCTTTTTCAAATGAGGTAGGGTCGTAGTCAAGGTTTCTAGTTATTCCAGTGTCTTTATTTTTACCTGTTGGATTATGCTAGTGACTTTGAGACAATCATGATTTTGTAGGAGGAGGTTTATTTTGGGGGCACTCTGTTCTGTTCCATATTTGTTCTTTGATAGTCTTGTACCATTTATAAATATATTTTTTTCCGTATATGTTTGTGTGTATAATGTATGTGTGTGAGTATGGGAATGTGTGTGGAGGTCAGAGTACAACTTCCAGGACTTGGTTCTCTCCTTCCATTGTGGTTCTGAGGACCACACTCAGGTCCTTAAGTTTACACAGTGAGTGTTTGTATATCCACTGAGCCACCTCTCTGGCTTGCACCATTTTTAATAGTTGTTATCATACAGGTGGCTGTTCCATAAGTCACATGAAATCTATGGACAGTTTTGAAATATATATATATATATATATATATATATATATATATGCTATTAAAAGTAGTAAGTATGTGTGTTTAGCTATTGATATCTGAAAAGAAAAATTTATATACAAAATCCAAGGAAAACATTTAAGTGCAATGTTGCACTTAGCTCTATGCAGTACAGCCTCATCTTTATTTCTGCAGCAAATGAGAGTGCCTGCTCTTTACAAGAAAGGAGAAGGAATGCTGTGATCAGAGCCCATGACGCTCTTGCCGTCTGGGAGAGGACAGTTTACTTTGCTCCTGGCTAGTCAGCTTTCTGTCTCTGTAATGAAATAAATGAGAAATGTAACTTATGTAGAGAAAAACATTTATTAAAGTGTTGTTTTGATTTCTGCTTTCAGGAATTCCAATCCAAGGTTGGGTAGGTCCATTGCTTTGGGCATCTGGTAGAAGTGCTGGGTGGCAAAAATGGGGGCCATCTCATCACTAGTGTTGATTGCTTGCATCAGGAACCAGGAATCCAAGATAGGGAGGGAAATAGACCAGGCACGTCTCTGCAAGGGCATGCCCCCAATGACCTATGGCCCTTTCAGAAGACCCTGCCTCTTAAAGGTCTTATCATCTTCCCATAGCACTCTCTTGGGTCCCAAGCCTTTAACACACGGGCCATTAGGGGACAACCTTTTTAAGCCATAGCAGCCTTTATATGCCATTTTTATAATGTTTCTTTTATGTAACAACCAAAGTTGTTAGAGAATTATAAAGCCCAAAACCCTCAGAGGAAGGACTTTCCTGAAGCTTACTATTCTCCATGGGTCTCATAATATTTCATAAATATACACGCATTTGCATGCATGTCTGCTGACTGAGAATAAGAGGTGAATATTTGACCCATTGTCTAAAGGCATTCACTCAATTATAGAAACCGAACAGCGGCCATAATTCACCCTGTGTGTGTTGTCAGATATGAAAAGTTATCTGTCTTAAGCTTTTTTATATGCTAACCAGAAAGGCATTTAGCTGCATACATGATCCCCAAGGTAGATGCTTTTATTTTTTGTGGGTATATATATATATAAAATTATAGTGCTGTGTGAAGTGTTTGTAAATGTTTGGCTGCTTTATGTGAGCATTTATCCACTTAGAGGAGACATTTGCCACAGAAAGGCCATCCTGGATCTCATTTTAAGTATCGTGATGTTTTTCTATGGGGAATATAGGTTTTGAGAGAGAAACCATTATTTTTGGTAAATATTTAATATTTTCCACATATTTTTCTGTATGAATAGTAAAATAATTATATGCCGAGGTTTTAAAATGTGATTTCTTATGTTTACCATAATAAAATTATTACCTGTGGTAGAAGGACTACCAGTCTGGAAACTACAGTTTTAATGAATCATTTAGTCATCCCTACAGTCTACTCAAAGTCTACTACTTAGACAACGTGTGCTAAGCTAGGCATAGGCACACAGGATGCAGAGGCAGCATCTTGGACAGCACCCAGGGAGCTGTGTAAGAATCCCTTCTGTAGACTTTACATATGCCTTTAATTGATAACTGGCTTAGAGATTCACTTTCTGAGCATGTCAGTTATTCTTAACCAAGTAAAAACTATTTTTTGGATGAGATATTTATTTGATTATTATCTATTACCAATAAACAGAGTCTTCTGGAGGACTACCCCCATTTCTTCTTCTCTTTTCTATGACTGGCGTGAAGTAAACCAGTAGCGTGAATGGAGGAGCCGCATTCTGTTCCCAGTGCTCACTCCATCTGTCGATGCTGACACGGTGTCTGGATCCCCGTGGGTAGGAGGCATGAGGACAGCCCTAACCTGGACCCAGCTCAGATTAATTCATGAGATAGTTTAAGATAGAACAGGTAGTTTTTGTGGTATTGGTCTTAACATTTTGAGGTATGTTCCAGTGTGATCGGACACTCTGGGTTCAAACTAATCTCTCTTTGGTTCTTATGATATAAACGTTTTTCCTTTATCAAGGCAACAGTGGGAACCTCTCTGAGATTCTCTTTAGAGCTCTCCCAGGGGAAGTCAGTTGAGATGTGAACAGGTAGAAAGAGGGATAATCACAGCTGCCTGTTGATTGCCGTGTGTTCCCTCAATCAGCACGTCTCCTGTTTTCATGATGAGAAATAATCCACAAAACAGGCCAGAATCAAAACCAAATCCAAAGTATAGAAGATTAATTTAAAATGGGTTTCATCCTTTGGCTCTCTGTCTCGTATAATCATCCTATTTTCAGTAACTTTGATAAAAGGTCTATGTACGGTTAATGTGTTTTTCCTCCCTGAGCCCCTGTGTCCCTCCCTCCTTAAACAAGAGCTGGGAGCTCGCAAGATCATGCCATTCTTTTTTTTTTTTTTTTTTTTTTTTTTTTTTTTTTTTAAGATTTATTTATTTATGTATACAGTACCCTGCCTGCAGGCCAGAAGGGGGCACCAGATCTCATTACAGATGGTTGTGAGCCACCATGTGGTTGCTGGGAATTGAACTCAGGACCTCTGGAAGAACAGTCAGTGCTCTTAACCGCTGAGCCATCTCTCCAACCCAAGATCATGCCATTCTTAAGCAGAAGCTCAAAACTAAGAAGGGTTTCTCCTCCATCCCTTTATACTGTGTATAAGAATATGTTTGTTTTATGGTCAGTTTGCTGTTTGATGCTTGGGATTTCTCTCAGGTCTGACTCTTGTGCTAACGAACATGTTCATTTATACCGTGTAATATAGGCATGTTAAATAATTGATGGGACCATGGCAGGTGGAGGGTAGCAGATGTAGTCCCTTTGTTGCTATGGTGACACGTTTGGTTGAGGGCTCCTGTCCATCATTTGGACCACATGGGTATGACACATGTGATGTGATTGTGGTTGCTGTGGTTGGAGGAGAAAGTCAACTTAGGAAGAGGCAGCATTTGAAGCAAATGGATATAAGTTTCAGAAGGTGCTGGAGCAAACTTGCCGAATGACTTACGTCCCTCTGTTAACAGGCTCACTTCCAGCCGATGCATCAGCATGGGGAAGTGACAGATTTGTTTACTTGCTGTTGCAGCAGCATTTGATCATTTATTGCCTAACATGGTTATTGTGTGAGGTTTACATTCCTCCCCGTCATCTTTAGGAGGGCTCCCCGTAAGTGGAACTGGTGCTGTCTTTAGTGGAGAAGCTGAAGGGAAGGACATTTTCTTTATTCTCTGCTAAAAGCAAAATCCCCAAGCCGTTACCAAAAGCCATTTTGTTTTTGTTCTGTTCCAGCAAATATTCATTGAGCAAAAGCTGGAGGCCCCCAAAAGCTGGGAGACAAGCGCACAGAAGATATGGTCCTGCCCCCATGTGTTGGTCGCTAGTTGTTAGTGTGGATCTTGGGGACTGAATCTGGTCCTCGTGCTTGTAAGGTTCAACATGCTACCAGCCGAGCAGTCGCCTTAGCCTCCTCCTAACAGTTACAACAAGCAACACAAAAATAAATACAAACATGGCGCTCTTGATCTTCACCTTTCTTGTCAATGGGCTGGCTAAGTCAAGAGCTATCTTTTTGGGGTATTTTACTCAAATAGTTTCCCATACATTTTTCCTATGTTATTTCTTAAACACTATTAATTAATCTATGCCTGTTTTTATTATTTCTAGTAGGAGTGTTGGGGAAGGAAAAGAATTGTTTGTAGAGAGGCCCTGGAGGAGCCTCTTTTATAGAGGAAGG